CGAGGCTGCAGTGGTCGTGAGTGTGCCACTGCACTCTAGCCTGGGAGACAGAGTGAAAAAAAAAAAAAAAAAAAAAAAGACCATTCATTTGGGAGTCTGAAAGATTTGAATTTGAATCTCCACTCTCAGTAGCAGTTTCTAGTTCTAAGAAAATGTGATCAAATATTAGCTCTGGGATTATGCCAATGTCCCCAAAGCCTAACTAATTATAAATCTCTTGATTGATTTTTTTTTTTTAGACAAAATGCAGGTAAAACATAACGCAGCATTACCCTGCCAATTTATCACTTTATTCAAGTGACAACATAATCAAAACTGCAAATCCCCAAGAAACTAGCTAGTAAAACTTATTTAAGAGATTATTTTGTCCCAATTGAAATTCTCAAAATAAGTTGTATTTAAGGTTAAGCACAGACAATTTATTCAACAAACAGTCCAATAAAACCTACTATGTGGGCCGGGCTCGGTGGCTCAGCCTATAATCCCATGCTTTGGGAGGTCGAGATGAGTGAATTGCCTGAGCCTGTGGGTTCGAGACCTGCCTGGGCAACTTGGCGAGACCTCATCTCTACAATAAATCAAAAAATTAGCCGGGTATGGTAGCATGCACCTGTAGTTCCAGCCAGAGCCCAGCAGGTCGAGGCTGCAGTGACCGGGAGTGGCCACTGCACTCCAGTCTGGGCGACAGAGTGAGACTCCAACTCAAAAAAAAAGAAAAGAAAAAACCTACTATGTGCAAGGCACATGGGACAGAGACAATGCACAGCACCATTCCTCAAGGAGATCACAATCTAAGAAAGGTGACAGATAACAATATAAATCTAAACAGTAGTATATAGTTCATGATCAAATATATGAAAGTAGAGAGGTGGCAGAAAGCTAGTTGAATTCAGCTTCAGAAGCGTCACTTTCTTACTATGAAAGTCAATAAACAGTCAATTAAAAACTGGGATTGTGCCGGGTGCAGTGGCTCATACTTATAATCCCAGCACTTTGGGAGATCAAGGCAGAAGATTGTTTTTGAGTCTAGGAGTTTGAGACCAGCCTAAGCAACATAGCAAGACCTCGTTTCTACAGAAAATTAAAAAATTAGCTGGGTATGGTGGCGTGTACCTATGGTCCCAGCTACTTGAGAGGCTGGGACAGAAGGAGCACTCAAGCCCAGGAGGTTGAAGCTACAGTGAACCCTGATCATATCACTATACTCTAGCATGGGAGACAGAGTGAGACACTGACTCAAAAAAAAGTGGGAGGTGGAGGGGAGCGCTGTTTAATATACACGATTTTGTAGCAGGAGGGAGTAATAAACTCAATCTTTATTTTTTAAGATATAATCACTAAGAAAATATTAGAGCCCTAACTTTCTCTTCACTGAAAACTGGCCATTAAGAGTAAAGAGATACTGACCTATTACAATTCAAACACAATTTTTTCAAAAAAAAAAAAAAGAGTAGTGTTCACCTTACCTAATAACACCTATCACAAGCATGTGAACACTTCATTTGACTGCTTTATTAAATACTGCCATATAGCCAGGTGTGGTGGCTTATACCTGTAATCTCAGCACTTTGGGAGGCAGAGGCAAGAGAATTGCCCGAGTTCATGGGTTCAAAACGAGCCCGGGTCTGGGCAACATGGCGAGACCCTGTCTCTACAATAAATCAAAAAATTAGTTGGCCATGGTGGTGCATGCCTGTAGTTCCAGCTTCTTGGAAGTCTGAGGTAGAAGGATCACCTGAGCCCAGCAGGTTGAGGCTGTGGTGGATGTGAAAAGTGTGCCACTGCACTCCAGCCTGGGTGACAAAGTGAGACTCTGACTCATTAAAAAAAATATATTGCCATATAGATTAGGAAGTGTATTTGCCTTGAATGAAAAACAGATTTCCACCTATTATGTCAATTATGACTGACAGGGACTGCCCATGATGCTGTGCTGAGAGAATAAGTCTGGCCAAATCCAGACTTACCAGGGCTGTTATGATTAGCAATGTCTGCTGAGTGAGAAAGAGGGGGAATGGAAGGTGTGTGCTGTGTATTTGAAATCCTTAACATCTTGCGTTTTCTCTGATAAATTGTATCCTATATGCATCCTTCCCCCCGAAAGAAGTTGACTTTAATTTAGTATTAAAGTCAATAAATATTGACTTGCAATAAACACGGTTTGGGGAATCTATCCAGTCCATGAGCTCTTCCTTCTTTTCTAAGAAAAGTTCCTGATCCACGGGGCTGGGACTCCACTCTCTCAGGCACAAATGACTGATCCCTGGGTAGAAACTACTCCAAAATGGAATAATGAATTATCTCTCTACTGGGCATTTAAAACTGGGAATCACAAACTGCCAGTTTAGTGTTTTTATATGTGGAACAGCAACATGCAAATACTGCTTGGTCTACGTAGAGATAAATGAAGAAAATCTACAGAGCCAAAGAAACTAGGGAAGTAACAATATTTCTGGATTCTGACAATTTTCAGGTATGTCTCCCTGCACCAGGATTTTTAGGATTCCTTTTTCTTTATTTAAGCTAGTTTACTTTTTTAATTTACAGTCAAAGGGTATTCGCTAACAGAAAATAAAAGGGCTGTAAAAGGATAAAAGAAAACAATTTCTAGCCTGGGCAACTTGGTGAGACCTCATCTCTACAATAAATCAAAAAATTAGCCAGGTGTGGTGGTGCACACCTGTGGTTCCAGCTACTTGGAAAGCAGAGATGGAAGGATTGCCTGAGTTCAGCAGGTTGAGACTGTGGTGGCTGTGAGCGATCCACAGTTCTCCAGCCTAGGCAACAGTATGACTTCAACTCAAAAAAAGAAAATAATCTTATAAAAGAGACAAAAAATACTTAGAAGATTTACTTTTAAAAAATCAAACGACTCTAATCATACTTTAAAATTATAGTTGAAACTGGACTGGATTTAAAAAAGGTAAATGGAAGATTACACGGCCGTAAAGGACAAAATTACGGACTCTGCAGCAACTTTGATGGATTTAGAGTCAATAATACTCAGTGATCTATCACAGAAACAAAGAACTGAGTACCACATGTTCTCACTCATAAGCAAACCCTGAACATATACCATAATACTATAAGAAAGGGATTGGCAACAGTGGGACACTGTCATTGGGTGAGGGGGAAACATTACATCAATAAGGGTACCTGATCTCAAACCAGGTGAAGTGGGGACCAAAGGGAGACCCACACTTTGCCTGTAAGACGATCACTTGTATACTTAATCCTGAATTGTTCCCCATATCTTTAAAATAAAATAAGGCCGGGAGCTGTGACTCACACCTATAGTCCCAGCACTACAGGAGGCCGAGGTGATTACCGGAGCCCACAGGTTCGAGAGCAGCCTGGGCAACTTGGCGAGACCTCATCTCTACATAAATTAAAAAACAGGCCAGGCGTGGTGGCGCGTACCTGTAGTTCCAGCTACTTGGAAGGCTGAGGTGGAAGGATCACCTGAGCCCAGCAGGTTGAGGCTGCGGTGGCTGTGAGCATGCCACTGCACTACGGCCTGAGCAACAGAGTGCAACTCCAACTCAAAAAATAAAAATAAAAAATAAATTAAAATAAATTATAGTCAAAATTTAATTCCTTCGGTTTCATACCCTCTTCTTCAAGAAAATAAGTGATAAACATAAGGAAATCTGACCTTTGTTTCTTCTGTCCTCACTGCATCCAACAGACAATGAAGAAGCTCCTGACTGTCCTGTTGTTGGAAATCTTTAAATCGAGGTGCCCTGTAATTTAAAAACAAAACAGGAAAGAAAAAAAGAATAATTATTCCATGGTTCATCAACAGTGTTACTCTTGTTTAAAGTCACTTTGAAATAACAAAGTCTCAGCCAGGCACGGTGGTTCATGCCTGCAATCCCAGCACTTTGGGAGGCAGAGACGAGAGGACTGCCTGAGCCTATGGATTTGAGACCAACCTGGGCAACATGGTGAAACCTCGTCTCTACAGTAAATAAAAAAATTAGCTGGGTGTGGTAGCACACACCTGTAGTCCCAGCTACTTGGAAAGCTGAAGCGGAAGGATTGCCTGAGCCCAGCAGGTCGAGGCTACAGTGGCCGTGAGCGTGCCTCTGCACTCCAGCTTGGGTGACAGAGTGAGACTCCAACTCAAAAAAAAAAAAAAAAGAAATAACAAAGTCTCAACTTACTACTTTTTCAACTAAGTATAAAGACAAAATGTGGTTACTATCCTATTCAGGTGTGATTAATTATGTATGTATGTATGTACATATGTATGTATATATGTATGTGTGTATGTATTCATTGATGAGGTCTCACTATGTTAATCAGGCTGGTCTCTAACTCCTGGGCTTAAGCGACCCTCCCATCTTGGCCTCCCAAAGTGTTGGGATTATAGGTGTGAGCCACTGTGCCCAGTCAAGGGTATGATCTTAAGTGTGTACTGGGAACGATATGACTATCATTTACTAAGCAACTACTATACGTCAAGAACAGTACTAGTAGCTTTAAATATGTTAAGTCACATAATCCTCAAATGACCTTATTGACATGTACAATTTCCTCAAAAAAGTTTTTTTTGAGTCAGTGACTCACTCTGTCACCCAGGTTGGCATGCAGTAGCATGGATTGTGGAACTCCGCAGCCTTGACCTCCCAGGCTCAGGTGATCATTCTACTTCAGCCTCCCAGGTAGCTGGGACTAAAGGCACATGCCACTACACAGGCTTATTTTTTTGTAGAGATTAGGTCTCATTATGTTATGTTGTCTAGTCTGGTCTCCATCCAACTCCTGGGCTCAAGCAATCCTCACCTCGGTCTCTCAAAGTGCTGGGATTACAGGTGTGAATAACCATGCCTGGCCTATTTTCTTCAATTTATATATCAGGGCTCAAAGGAATTATTTAAATAATTCACAAGGTCATAGAGCTTGCAAAAAAACAATATTGAAACTCAAGTCACTGTGATTATCTTCCTATCTTAACTAACAGAAAGAAAAGCAAGAGAGTCTTTACATTAAAATATACAACTATAAATTTATATGTCTGTGAATATATTTAAGGATTTGTCAGTTAGATTTCCTTTGTAATGATTAAATAAAAAGATCTGGTGCTATTCATGATGATACTGACACGGCAATTATTTAGTTAATTTCAATAACTTTAAAAAATAATCTACAATAAGCTCCAATGCTAAAATGAACATTTTGCCTTAAATGTAAACAAGTAGTAAATCTAGAAAGTGTTCTAAGATGGAGAAAGAAATCAGTCAAAAAGTACAAAATAATAACACTATATTGTAGAAGACAAATTTACAATTATTTCATTATGATAGATCTCATGATATACACAACAGAACTGTTACGGAATTTATAATTAATATAAACTTCATTTAATACTTGAGAAATCTACAGAATAAGCTAAGTACCACTAACAGAAATCCAGGTCTTTTGATGCTGAATGCAATACTTGAAGCATTAGTCCTCATTATCTCATGATAAATATTCATCCCAATAATACAAACTAAAACGCTCAACTGCTACAACAAACACCAATTCATTTACTCTTGCTAACTAGCAGCAAATAACATGTTGACAATATTGTTCTTTAATTCACTACCTTGGTGGGCTTCCCCTTCTGCATGTAGTAGATAATACCTACCTCCTGGATCAAAAACAAGGACAGAAACCCAGGTGGACATGAATTCTAACACTATTTGGGCCTCCATAGCTGTCATCACACGAGGCAGAAACTTCAGGATACTATATCTATGCTATGTACAAGGAGGAATCCCCAAAAACCTGTAATTATCTTTCAGAGGGCACGCCCCTTGTAGTACAGGCTTCGCCCACCAAGTTCTACAAACCCATCCTAGCTAGCTATTGTGAGAGGCTGGATTTGGCTTCAGTGAATTTTTGGGGGAAGAGTCTTTCAACTTGTAGGATGGGTGATTTGTGAGCATACTTGCCCACACCACACTGAGTGTTCAGCAGTTTTTGACCCCCAAAAGATGGTATGACTCCCATGCCCCACCTTCCCTATTCTCCGATCTTGCCTCCAGCAACCTCTTTTCTTTCCCAGATGAAAAAAGTCATCAAAAAGAAACGTTTTGCTGATGTGGAAAAGGTGAAACAAACAAACAAACAAAAAAATGGCAGAAGCAGAAAAGGCATCAAAATTGACAAGGTCAAAAACTGTTTTGATCAGCGGAAAAAGCATCTTGATAGGTTTATTGCATCAAACAGAGAATACTTTGAAGATGACTGAAGTTTAAATATGTAAGAATAAATACACAATATTTGTTTTGTTTTGTTTTGAGTTGGAGTCTCACTCTGTCACCCAGACTAGAGCACAGTGGTCACTCCCGGCTACTGCAGCCTCAACCTACTGGGCTCCGGCTATCCTTCCGCCTCAGCCTTCCAAGTAGCCGGAACTACAGGCGGACGCCACCACGCCCAGCTAATTTTTTTGATTTATTGTGGAGATGAGGTCTTGCCAAGTTGCCCGGGCGGGTCTCGAACCCGCAGGCTCAGGCAATCCACTCACCTCAGCCTCCCAAAGCGTGGGATTACAGGCTGAGCCACTGAGCCCGGCTGACAATTTTTAATCAATAATTTCCAGGGGTTTTTTTGGGGGGGACCCTTCATATATCAAGGAAGGCCAGTAAAGTGGCAAAAGACTGGGAGGGGAAACAGGAATTCTTCAGAGATTTTCACGAGCCAGGTGGCAGGTAGAAGGAGGCAGCAGTTTATGGCTTTCATAGCAGACATAAAGGAAGGAAGTCATTTCTAAACAAAGGAAAAACTGCCTCTACCATGTCTCTGCATCCATGCTCTATCTCAACCAATGCAAAAAAACCACTGAAGAAAATTTAATGAACCTAGATTTTTTTTTCTTTCTTCTTACCTAAGACTGGAAAATAAAAATCACAGGATGACTTGATCTCTGATGAAGTCTGTCTAAGCTACCAATATCAATAGGGATCTTCAAACTTTAAGGAAAAGAAAAAAAAAAAAATCACCAAACTTATGAAAATATTCAGCCTATTCAAAAGAAAGAAAATACTAAGTATTCACAAGAAATGTACTTTAGTAAGAGTATTACTATGAAAAAGAGGAGGACTTTTAGAAACCTGAAGACATAAGAGGAAAATGTATGTACAAGCATAAAACAGGAGACTGTAAAGAAAAAGAAATTTAGAAGAAGAGAGGATTTGTGGAGATACCTTGGGTGATAATGAATCGGTCAGTTCATAATCCAAACACTCCCTCTCTCCAAACACATTGACAAAACATAAAATGGGGGGGGGGGGCATATGTGGGATTCAATACAAAAATAAATCCCATAGAGCAAAAAATGAAACAGAAACACAAAATAAGAAGAGAAAAAAACAGACTTGTTGGGACTGAAAGCGCTCAGGCCTGAAGGGTAAAAAGAACCACTAGTACCTTGCCTCAGTCAAGGACCTCAGTCACTGTTTAAGGATGGCTGATCTCACCAGGAGGCTGAAAGAAAGCCCCTCAGCAAATATTGCCTAAGGCTGCAACAAAACACAGACCCAGCCTTGGGACCTGAAGCTGAGTCAGCCTTCCACAAACTATCACGTCCCCCAAAGCAGGGCAGCACAGAAACTGTGGACCTGGGATTCCAAGGTCCGCTTGAGGGTCTGGAGTGAGGCTACCTTAAAATTTTAAATTACTAGGTAGAGAAGGAAGGGAAGGGAGAAAGGGGCAGAGGGAGCAGACATGGGATAGGACAAACAAAATCTACTCCAAATGAGCCTGCAAACCAATCTAATCAAACACATAAGGAAATCTCCTGTTCCAAGTCGACAGAATGATTGTTCTTTACTCCAAATGAATTTATAATCTGCCCCAAAGATAGTTCTAATGTTTCAAAGACACTACAATAAATATGTTATGAATGTCCAAAAATATAAAATAAAGAAATAACAGTCCATTAAGAACTAGTTATTAAGAAACATAGGAAAAAAATAAATAAGAACATGTGGATACTGATAAGACAGCCAATTAAAAATACCAGAAAAAAGAAAATAAAACTGCAGATATGTATGAAAATACAAAGGACAGAATATACTCCAAACTAAACAGTGATGAAGGGTGAATCAGTAAACTAGAAGATCATACTAGAAGAACAGCCCCGGAATACTATACTTTCATTCTATATTGCCTTTAAATACATAGCACACCAAAGATTATCACAAAAATAGCAAAGTTACAGTAAAAATGAAACATCACATATTAAGTTCGGAATACATTAGTATTCTGTAACTCATGATTACTTATATTTAGAACATAGATGTACCTACTTCTGACAAAGCTGATTAAAAAGAACTTTAGGAGAAAGTGGTCCTTTTTCAGTCTCCTCCATGTTGTGAAGAAACAGGAACAAAGCTGAGGCCAGTGGTCCAAGGCTCGAAAGTTCCACCACTAACGGGTCCTTTAAAAATATGATCAACTCTATGTCAGAAATACACAATTTTAAAATAAAATATTACTAAAAATCTAAGGGTTATTATACTTTGCTTAATTGATAGAAACTAAGTTCCTTAAAGTGTATTAAGAAACTTTATTCTGCCGGGCTCGGTGGCTCAGCCTGTAATCCCACGCCTTTGGGAGGCTGAGGTGAGTGGATTGCCTGAGCCCGCGGGTTCGAGACCAGCCTGGGCAGGCGAGACCTCATCTCTACAATAAATCAAAAAATCAGCTGGGCGTGGTAGCACATGCCTATAATTCCGGCTACTCGGAAGGCTGAGGCGGAAGGATCGCCGGAGCCCAGCAGGTCAGGCTGCAGTGGCCGGGAGCGGCCACTGCACTCCAGTCTGGGCGACAGAGTGAGACTCCAACTCAAAAAAAAACCAAAAAAAAAACAACAACAAGAAAAGAAACTTTATTCTTTCATAAATAAAATGAATATAGAAAAAGAAGAGACAACTAAATTGAAAAACACAAGTATTTTCATGTCCTCTGCCCTTTAATTAAAACTATTAGCTTGAACTTTGGGAGGCCAAGGTGAGAGGACTGCCTGAGCCCATGGGCTTGAGATCAGCCTGGACAACTTGGTGAGACCTCATCTTTACGATAAATCAAAAAAATTAGCCAGACGTGGTGGCACGTGCCTGCAGTTCCAGCTACATGGAAGGCTGAGACAGAAGGATCGCCTGAGCCCAGAAGGCCGAGGATGCAGTGGCCCTGAGCATGCCACTGCACTGTAGCCTGAGTGACAGAAAAAAAAAAACTATTGGCTTGAAATCATCAATCTTTAGTTGCTTGTAACTGTCCCTTAATGTACTCTCCAAGTAAAATTACTCATCTACTTGATATTTACGCATCTCAAGAAATAATCATAAATTATACTTACTAGCAAAACTATACTTTTCTTTTTCTCAAATATTTTTCCAATAAAATGAGAAATAGGGAATTAGTATACCATAATTATGGTATATGAATTTATACCATACCTGGAATATATTTATTCAAAAATTTTGTATTTATTCATATATACACATATACAATAGTTGTATACTGCCAAATCGTTATACTATCCCCCCTTTTAAAGGAAAGCATTTACATAAAGCTTGACAAAAGCAGTCAAAATTGTGAAAAGGATGAATCCACTTAATTCTACTATTTTTTTTTTTCCTCCACCAAGTTCTGGTTTCTAAAACATGTTATCCCCACCAATAACCTTCTCTCCTAAAAGACAATGAATAAAAAGCAGATCCCAAATATAATCTTTGAATGTTATCTTCTGAGACAACTATTGAATATGTTGTCTTATTCCTGTATTCATGAAGTACTTGTTACGTATGTATTTCATACCAGCTATCCTTAAAAATCTACCAAATAGCTACAACCACAAAAAGGATAGGCTATAATTTTCCACAGCTTTTGAATATCAAGTGTCTTCTGTTATGTTGTAAACCTAAAACTACTCTAAAAAATAAGGTCCATTTAAAAAAATAAAAACAGAAACATTTTCTGCCGTGTTAACTGAAAATTACCTCAGGGATAAAACATAACTCCAAGGCAATGTTAAAGCCCAAGTATCAAGTTGCAGCTCCGCTATTCCCAGCTAAGACATTTTTAGATAGAGTAAAAAACCTTCAGGATGAATGAGGAAATTAGTTTTCAAAAGTACACATAAACTTTGAAAATAAAAGTTTGCTGAAAATGCAACACGTATGAATCTCAAAAACACAATGTTAACAGAAAGAGGCCAAATGCAAAAGAAAGCATATTGTAAGATTTCACATTTATGAAGTCTTAAAACAGGCAAAACTAATCTATCCTGTTAGAAACCAGGTTGGTGGGCTAAGGAATTAAAGAATGGAGGGCTGCCTGAGGGAGCCTTCCAGATGCTGACGGTGTTTTGTTGCTTGAGCAAGGTGTTAGGTACACAAGTGTGTTCAGTTGCAAAAATTCACCAAGCTATATCCTCTTGATATAGACTCTTTTTTTTGAGTTGGAGTCTCACTCTGTCTCCCAGGCTGGAGTGCAGTGGCACCCTCACGGCTACCACAGCCTTGACCTTCTGGGCTCAGGTGATCCTTCCGCCTCAGCCTTCCAAGTAGCTGGAACTACAAGCATGTGCCACCACATCTGGCTAATTTTTTGATTTATTGTAGGGATGAGGTCTCGCCAAGTTGCCTAGGCTGGTCTCGAACCCGTGGGCTCAGGCGATCCTCTCACCTCAACCTCCCAAAGAGCTGGGATTACAGGCATGAGCCACTGCTTCTGGCCTGATATCCACTTCTAATAATATTTTAGTTTAATAAAGCTTTCTAAACAACACATTGCTGATTGCTGATATGCGCGTGCGCGCGCGCGCGCACACACACACACACACACACACACACACACACACACACACACACACACACTTTTTTTTTTTTTTGAGTCAGGATCTCACTGTTGCCCAGGCTGATTCTCTGGGCTTAGGCTATCCTTCCACCTTTGCATTCCAAGTAGCTGAGACTACAGGCATGTGCCACCATGCCTGGCTAATTTTTTTAGTTTTGGAGAGATAAAATGGTGCCCAAGCTGGTATCGAACTCCTGGAATCAAGAAATCTGCCTGCCTCGGTCTCCTATACTGCTAGAATTACAGGTGTGAGCCACTGCACCCAGCCTAAATATTAACAAATTAAATTCAGCAACATATAAAAATACCACATCATAACTAAGTGGGGTTGTAACAGGAATATAGGCTAGGTTTAGCATTTGAAAATAATCAATCAATGTAATTCACCGCATTAACAGAATAAAGAAAAAACAATAATCATCTTAATAGATGTGGGAAAAGAACTTGACAAAACTCAATATTCATTCGGGAAAAAAAGTCTCAGAACACGAGGAAAAGAAGATAAGGTCCTTAACAAGACATTAAAGAACACCTATGAAACACCTACCTTCACATGTAGTAATAGTGGAAGGCTAAATGTTTTTCTACCCAATTTTGGAATTAAGGCCTGCTCTCATCACTTTTAATCAATATGTTGCTGGAGGACTGAGCCAGCACAATAAGGTAAAAGAAAGGAAATAAAAGGCATGCAAAGGACAACAAAATTGGTGATACAAAGGGCAGTGACCTATTCAGAGGGTAGTCCCACAGCTCAGGTGTTAACATTATGTCTTAAAAACCTAAGACCCAAGACTGGAAATTCCTCTCTTAAAATGACATAACCTAAAGTTAAGAACTATGATATCTAACTGCCATACAGTAATCTTGAGACACAGCACCACATGTCAATAAAACAAATTTTTTTGAGTCAGGGTTTCACTCTGTTGCCTAAGTTGGAGTGCAGTGGCATCATGGCTCACTGCAATCTCAAGCTGTGCTCAAGGAAACCTCCCGCCTCAGTCTCCCAAATATCTGGGACTACAGGTGCATGTCACCATGCCCAGTTTATTTTGTGATTTTTGTAGCAATGAGGTCTCACCACATTGCCTAGGTTGATCTCTAACTCGTGGACTCAAGCAATCCTCCAGTCTTGGCCTCCCAAAGTGCTGGGATTATAGGTACAAGCCACTGCGCCTGGCTACCACGTCAAATTTAAACTCAACATCTAATTACACTTAATAGAAAAATCTCAAAGTAACTAAGTAGTAACTTCCATTGAGCAAAGACATTTTAACTATATAATTACATTTTAGAATAGGACAAATAGGGCATTGCAATCTACCATTAATTTTTTTTTTTTTTTAAGAAATGGGGCCTGGCTGTTATCCAGGCTGGAATGCAGTGCAGTCATAGCTTAAGCAGCCTTAAACTCCTACACTTAAGTGATCCTCTCAGCTCACCTTTTGAGTAGCTAGGACTCCAGACACACACCCCCACACTCGGCTAATCTTTAAAAATTTATTATAGAATTAGGGTCTGTCTCCCTATGTCACCCAGACTGGTCTCAATCTCCTGGCCTCAAATGATCCTCCTGCCTTGGCCTCCCAAAGCTATCAGACGACAGGCATGAACCACTGTGCCCAACATACCTTTAAATTTTCAAAGGACTAGATAGGAAGTATTTACAAGCCACCTTTCTTTTGAATTGGAGTCTCACTCTGTCACCCAGGCTGGAGTGTAGTGGCACATTCACGGCCACCCCAGCGCTGACCTGCTGGGCTCTGGAGATCCTTTTGCCTCAGCCTTCCAAGTGGCCAGAACTATAGGCACGTGCTACCATGCCCAGCTGATTTTTGATTTATTGTAAAGACAAGGTCTCGCCAAGTTGTCTGTGCTGGTCTCAAACCCACGAGCTCAGGCAATTCACTCGTCTCAGCCTCCCAAAGTGCTGGGATTACAGGCTGAGCCACCGAGCCTGGCCAAGAAGCTACCTTTCAACAACAACAACAAAAACAATATTGTCTTTCAAAGCTACCTCTTGGGAAGAATAATCTAAGATTACTACATTGGGCTAAGCGTTTTAGAGAATTCTTTAGTTGTTTTCAGTAGCCAGATCATGAGCTACATACACACTCTCTCTTCCTCTAACACACACACATACTCACACACTGATCAGCTTCTAACTAAAATCAATCTTTCTAGTGATAACATTCCCTAACCAAAGTCCATCAGAAACACCTACAGTTAAACAAGGCAAATTTATCACTGGTTGCAATGAGAGAGAACATATACCATGGGGAACCATGAGGTCTTCGAAAGAGGGTGTTACAAAGCACCCTATATAGGATGTGGGCTTTGATTGAATAATTTAAGGAAGGTCTAAGGAAGGAGTGGTTTACTCTAGACTGAAGGCCATCAGAAAGCAAGGGCAATTCTACGAGTGGGCTTCTCAATAGATCTTACCTATAGGGGCAGGTAAAATGAGAACAAAGTCATAACTGGTAAAGAAGTAGCCTCACTCATATCCCATTTTGGCCAAGAGAGAGAGCGTTCAGAATTTTCTAAATGGCAGAGTGACTGTGTGTTAAGACAAAATTATGAAGTAGCTTTGCTTTGTCTCATTTTATCATAATCTCAGGGAAACCTAGTCTGAGGTTGGTATTCTGTAGGATTATATGAACAACATGGCCTAACTATGGGTGCCAGGACAGCGACTGGATGTAAGGGGCTGCTCTTTTGAGCTTTCACGAGCTTAAAAATCCATAATCAGACTAGGATTAAAAAAACCCTTTGATGTAATCTACAACCCTTAAAGAACAAAAATGATACGTTTAAGCAAATGTCACCAGAAACTACAAAACAGGGATCCCAAAGTAAAAACTTTTTGTTTTTTCAGTGTGTATGTTTAAAAGCTGCCTTGATATATTTGTATTATTTGATCCATGATGTGTTTGAACCATAACATATCTGGGAGTTATGATTTTAGCAATTTTAGATCTGATTATTTTCACAAAATGCTTTGGAATTATTTTTTAATGTCCTCTGACTACTATCCCAGTTATCAGATCTGAGAATTAGAAAAGTGATTTCAGCAATAACAGTGGCTCATCTAAAAACAACTATTATCCAAATAGGTATACTTGTTACTTACCAGTTGAGAGTCTGAAGAAGGAAAAATCTTGAGCTTTGTACTATTTTCTTTGATATTGTTCATCAGATCAGTAAGAATGTAAGTGTGTGCCAAGTTCTAAAAGAAAGCAAGAGTAAAGTCTTCAGATTCAGTTATTTTTATTTTTTATTTTTTTGAGTTGGGGTCTCCCTCTGTTGCCCAGGTTGGAGTATAGTGGCATGGATCACAGCTCACTGTAGCCTAGACCTTCTGGGCTCTGGCAATTTCTGGCCATCTAAGTAGCTGGGACTACATGCTAATATGCCTGGTTAATTTTTTTATTTTTGTAGAGATGAGGTCTTGCTCTGTTGCCCAGACTGGTCTTGAACTCCTGGGCTCAAACAATCCTCTTGCCTTGGTCACCCAAAGTGCTGGGCTTACAGGTGTGAGCCACCGCACCTGGCCCAGATTCAATTATAATATGCCTCTGACCTTATAGAATACTCTCTCAAAGTGTCAGATTTCATCTAGCATAGCAAAAATGTCTATTTCAAAAAACATTTTTTAAAAAGTAATTGAATACATTTTACCTTAAGTAAATGTCATGCTACTGATAGATAGAGCCATGGTAAAATACCCAGAAAATCTTTCAGAAGCACTGTGCAAAAGGAAGGTAAATGTATATGTATGATGATAACCAAAGATAGCCTAAAGCAAAAAGAAATTTGTAGAGGAACATGTAGCAGTCATTTTACAGTCTATAGTGTGCCAATGAGCATATAAATTAAAATAAACTTTTACATTTCACAAAGCTTTCTGATGAGTCTTACCTGCATGACTGCATTAAAAAAGCAAGTATTTCCTAAATTCATAATTCCTCTTACAGTTGGTATACTGCTGACTTTTCCTCCCTTTATTTCATGTGTTTCAAATTTTTCTTCACAAAGTTTCATGATTCTAGAAAATGCACCTATAAGTTAGAAAAAAACATAACTGACATGAGATATAAAATTAATATATGTCATTTGACATAATTTAAATATATTATTTATAATTAAATGGAATTATCTCCCTGAAACGGTGTTCCTGAAGGGCAAAAGAATATAGACACAAATGAATCTGATTTTATATTTTATTGCTGGAGCCCTTAATTTAAATTCATCTTACTATATTGAACTGTGAAATTGTTTAATTCATCTGTAAATTTCAGATGAATTCCAAAACTAAATGTAAAAGAATACAGTCGAAACACAAGTAGAAAAGACCTCGCTTCTAAATACCATCCCTAGGAAAAGCAATAAGGACTGTTGAAGAGTCTAAGCCTGGGACAGCAAAGATGCAAAATAAGCCAATAACATTTTTGCTGCGCCAGAGAATAAGGAAGTGCTCAAAGAAAGTGATGAGAGTAAGTAAAAATAAACAGGCACCCAGTGGACCAACCAGTCACCCAATGGACCAATCGGGGATAATTTCACCATCAAGATAACTTAGGGTAGTATAACAGATTATTAATCACTGTATATGTCTGATTGATAATAGATTCTCAAAATGAGAAAAGAGGGAGATACTGCCTTATAAGAGAATGTCAACTAAGAGAAGAAATAACAGTATCGGGAAGATCACTATCTTTAGTGTTTGATTGTGTTTCAGTTTTGTTTTTTTTTTTTGTTTGAGTCGGGGTCTCACTCTGTCACCCAGGCAGGAGTGGAGTGGCCCAATCACAGCTCACCCCAGCCTCAACCTACTGGGTTCAAGTGATCCTCCCACCTGTACCTCCCAAGTAGCTGGGACTCCAGACACTTGCCAGCAAGCCCAGCTAATCTGTTTATATTATGTAGAGATAAGGTCTCCCTATGTTTCCCAGGTGGTCTTGGTCTCAAACTCCTGAGCTAGAGTTATCCTCCTGCCTTGGTCTCCCAAAGTACTGGGATTACAGGTGTGAGCCACTGCACTCAGCCTGGAAATTATCTTATAATGGCAATTTTTGCATTACTCTTGCAACATCTCTGTGCATTTGAAATTGTCAAAATTAAGTTTTTAAAAAAAAAAAAAAATCAATAGAACCATATTATAATTTTAAAAAGTAAAATACCTAAGTGTGTGATACATAAGTGCATGTTTTGGGCTTATCAATTTGTATAATAAATGCAGATTTGAAAATTATATTATCAGTTTGTTGATTAATAACATGAAAATGAAGAACAATTCCTAACATTGACCAACTGACATGGTTGATTATACCTATTTAACGGCAGATTACTTTCCAAATCAAAATCATTATGATTTGACGTTTGAGAGAAAATTCTCAAGTTCTCAAAAGCTTTGGTTTTAACTGGATATCCTTTTAAATTCCTTTCAGTCCTCAGATTTTGTAGTTCTTTACAACTACATGTTTTAGATGTTTATTTATCTAATACCGACATAGTGCTTTGCATTACTAATAATTAACTTTTAAATGTTTGGCTGATTGACAAAAATTAGGGAATGCCTCTTACTATTGCGTCTTCTGCCACAAGGGCACAGCATCAGGGAGAAAACATAATAAAAATTCAACATAGATTAAAAACCTGTAAGACTAAGCAGCAGGTCTAGTAGAAGTTTGGCTTCTTATGTCTCTGACAGAGTTATTCAGAAGAAATAAATTAAGATACCTGCCCCACTTCTTAGAACAGCATTAAAGGAGATGCCCCAGAGGAAAAGTGGCCCAGTTCTAAGGAGCAGGAAGCAAACGCCATAAAGAGAAGCTGTAGTCCCAGATCTGGCAGACTGATGTCATGCGTATCCTTCTGGTTCAGATAAGGCTTCACTGAGCACCTGTGGCTTCTGTCAAAGCAAAAGCATCTCGAAGGCCGGGCGTGGTGGCTCAAGCCTATAATCCCAACACTTTGGGAGGTCGAGGAGAGAGGATTGCCTGAGCTCAGGGGGTCGAGACCAGCCTGGGAAACTTGGTGAGACCTCATCTCTACAATAAACCCAAAAAAATTAGCCAGGTGTGGTGGTGCATGCCTGTAGCTGCCCGTACTTGGAAGGCTGAGGTGGAAGGATCACCTTGAGCCCAGCAGGTCGAGGTTGCAGTGGTTGTGAGTATGCCACTGTACTTCAGCCTGGGCAGCAGAGTGAGACTCTGACTCAAAAAGAAAAAAGAAAAAGCATCTAGATACAGGCCCCAGTATCAATCAAGTAGGTTAACGCATTTTCTTGTAGGATTTTCATAAGGAATAAGTGAGCAGATGCTATGGTAAGTGCTATGTTAAGTACTTGAAAACAGCCCTGACAGCCCGCCCCACAAAATGATATTTGTACCAAAATCCATATCTTTTGGGAGCTGTCCTTCAATCCATTGTTTATCTGCTTTCATATTTTTCTTCTATGTATTCATTTCCTGTACACTCTAGGTATTTCCCCCCCTAAGGTTTATCTTTTATCTCTAACTGGATTTTCTGAATTGTTAATCTGCATTTTGCCTTTGATATTGGCTTTGTGGTTTTCCTAATTTCTTGGCTTTTCTTTTTAACATCTTATCTCATTGGGAAAAGAATTGGTGGTTTCTAAGATGTTTTCTTTAGTTAAGCAAATCTATTTCATGGAAAAGATTTTTCTTCCATGTTCTAACAACTTTGCTCTTACTGTGCTACAAAAGTTTGCTGTAAACCCTATTAACTGCCTTTCCTCCCTTACTTCTCTTTGCTTATTCTTTAAATGTTGTTGATTATTGTTGGATCTTTGTTGTCCAGAGACTAAGGAGTTGTTTTTAACTCTAGAATCCTGAGTTGAAGCAGAAAAGAGCTAGCAATATAGGTGTCTTTTTCTGTCCTCCAGATATTAAGTGATACAAAATAAACTTGGCTGGGTGCTGTGGCTCACATCTGTAATCCCAGCACTTTGGGAAGCAGAGGTGAGAGGATTGCTTGAGACCAAGAGATCAAGACCAGCCTGGGCAACAGAGCAAGACCTTGTCCCTACAAAATAAATAAATAAATTAGCTTGGCATGGTGCCACACACCTGTAGGCCCGGCTATTCGGGAGGCTGAGGCAGAAGGATCTCCTGAGCCCAGGAGTCAAAGCTGTAGTGAGCTGTGATAGTGCTACTGCACTCTAGTCTGGACAACAGAGTGAGACTCTGACTCAAAAATAAAATAAAATAAGTGATACAAAATAAACTCCATACGAGATCTTGGGGCAAAATCCAGCACAATCAATGAAGCAGGTTACTGACATGCAGAGGCCAAACATGAAAAAAAGGAAAAGGGGGAAGTAGCCAGACAGCATTCAAACTCGTAAGTGACTATAAAAGCCAGTGAAAAATGTCAGCCAGTACTTAAGAAGCACTGCACTGAGGGGCTGGGGGGATACCTCATCAACAAGGGTACCTGCATAATGAACATTTGTATAACTAACCCTGAATTATACCCCACATCTTTAAAAAATAAAAATAAAATAAAAAAGAGGCACTGCACAAACAAGAGGAACCCCCGATATACAGCCTGGCTGGGTTTGCAGACAGAAGAGTCATCTGCCTCTTATTTATATCTGAGCTTGCAAATAAAACCTAGAATAGGAAGGTTTCAGATTCTCGTTATTGCCATTGTCAATAGATGGTTTCATCTTGCTGTTTAAGAGATGTAAGGTAAAACAGTAACCAAATCAAAGCATTACTCTAACTTTTCAGGCAAGGCTATTAACTCTGATTTTACATTCACAATGTCAGTCTCTGACAAAATAATTTGCCCAAAGTTGCAACAATAATCTTCTGATTATAAATTCATTGTCATTTTACCTCCAAAATTCTCTTCAGTGATTTAAGTACAATGAGAAGAATTATAAAAGATAGTAGAACAAGACACTTACAGATTTGGGTTTATGCAGCCCTGAACAAACATGACTCCTCAAATGTATTTCCTTTACTTAACATTCTTACGAAATTTTGTCATAATTTTTTTTTAGCTTATTAACATGAAAACAGAATGGCTGGGGGAAATAAACTATAGATTATAACTATATATACGTATATAAAATATACAAACATTAATCACTTGGGAAAGTATACCCAGAAATAAATTATATTTTAGTCTTGCAAAAACACGAATATTTTAAAAACCACAATATGTAAATGATTTCTGTATCTGTGTACCACATTTATTCATCAGTTTTCAAAACATCTGGGATAGCGTCCCAAAGTAAACAATGTTCATAAGACCATCTGGACAAAACTGCAGGCAAAAAAAAAGCATAAACATATGGAAAAACAGATTTTTCTCTTCCCTTCAGCAGTAAGGGATGACAAATGTCAACCCTAGATCTAGCCACGCTTCACTGTGCGATGCTTTTCAGCACCACCTGGCTCTCCATGCAGAGCCACCAAATATGGACAGCACTGCCAGAAAGAACATATCCGCAGGGCAATGGCAATAAAATGAGTTTATTTCACGGTTAAATAGCCACTTCACACAAGTGGCAAAGGTCTGTTTGTTGACTTTTACATGTAAGTCTGTGAGAAAATATTAAAACTTAACTATGCTATTAAACAGATCAGATAATTTAACAAGAAACTAGAACCACATTTAAGAGCTATTTAAGTGCTTTATTTAAAATAAAAGTGCAAGTTTATTTTATAAGTAGTATATTTAGAAAATGTAGCAATTTAAATTCAATTGACTTATCCTGTGGCCACTGTGTACCAGGTACTATATAAACCACTATCTGTAATTATTTATACTTAATTTCTTATGATTTATGTCTGGAGTATAAGAAATTGATACATAGTGAAGAGCACAGAAATGTTAAGCCTTAAATTTATGATAGCACAATCTCTCAGTAAAACTTTTAGAAACTAAGTATACATGTACATTTATTCACTAAGAAGCTGTCAACTGTGAGTTTAAGATTCTAGTTTAAAACAGGGATATCTAAATAAATTCTCAATTATCTGACATATATTTAAGTATGTGTTTTTTGTCTGTTTATTTTGTT